GGTCAGAATCAGTCATGCACCTGCTCTGGGCCCAGGCTGCACTGTGATTCTGGAGCCCTGGCCCGTCCATTTGTCCTGCATGGGCAGCACATCAGAGCTGGTGCAGGCTGAGCGGGAGGCAGAGGCCACACCTCATCTGACTGTGCCAGGCCTCTGTCCTCCCTCCCCACCCTCTCGGGCAGCCCCTCTCTAGGGAGAGGGTCAGAAGGGCCAGGCAGTGCGGAGCTCCTTCTCCAGGCCCTGGACCAACTGGAAATTGAGGAAGAGCAGCTGACCATGTGGCAGGAAGCGGGTGAGGATGGCCTCGATGCGGTCCACCCGTAGCTGAAGGTTGGTGCCAGGGGCCAGCTGGCGGAGGTGGTCAGAGAGGAGGCATGCTAGCAGCCAAAGGGTACGCTCAGCCAGAAGCAGGTTCTCATGGGCATCCAGGACCAGCGTGAATCCTAAGGAGAGCACGCCTAGCCACACCACCATCCGGGGCTCCCGGAAAGGGTCCCCTGCTGCCAGGCGGAAGGCCCCATGTGGGGCATCATGCAGGGACGTTGGTTCATCTGAGGAAGACGGAGGCTGCAGGTCCACCGATGAACAGCTGGACGCCTGCTGCTGCAGCTGGCACATAAGACTCCGCCTGTCTGGCAACGGCCAAGATCTGCTCCTTGAGGAGGAGTCTGTCCCTCTCGGCCCTGTTTGGCCTTGGGTCATCAGTTGACTTCTCCGCACCAAAGACACAGGAGTAGGGCTCTCGGCAAAAGCCTGTGTCGTCATTTGGGGCCCGCAGGGTGTGGATGGGGAAGGCATGGATCATGGATCCCAGGCAAGGGCCTTCCTCCACCAGACTGTGGACTTCCAGGAACAGGCCGTCCCCCTTGGCAGCGGAGTGAGCAATGGCAGCTGTGTGGCCCTTCAGCGCCTGTGCACACTGGTTTGGGCACGCACCCGGGCGCGCACAGTGGGTGGGGCGGTCCAGTCTGGGTGGTGGCTGGTGGTTGTGTGGAACTTATTTCCGATGGCTGATCATAGGCCATGGACAACAGTCACCATCGAATTGCAGACCTCAGCCCAGAGCCCAGTGGGGTGGGGGCCGCGCTGGTCACTTGCAGAAAGGGTACACCGATTGCTAGCTTGAAGTCATTGCTGACTCTCAGCGGCAGCGAGGGGGCGCAGCGCCCTACGGCAATCCCGCACAGGCGCTTTGCGGAACCTTCCTCCCAGTAGCGGTGTCGTCATCAGCCGGCTAGGTTCGGATTGGCAGAGATGCCTCCGAAGCTGCGGTTATTGACCTTGAGACATCAAGCTCTCAATAGCCTCCTTGTTTTGTGTTTTCTAGATGGGACTACCAGCTCGATACCCAGGAATATTCCCCTGGGATAAATCCTGTCCAATTAGGATAGAGTTGATAGAGAGAAGCTGGACAAACAGAAGATCGTGCACTTTCCCTTCCAACCCTGAACCAGCTAGAACATTTTGTGGAACGATGGGGAAGTGGGCGGAGATTCCGTATGTTAGAGCATTTTTCCTTTTGAGGAAGCAGTAAACCAGCTTAAGATTCTTCTTCTTCAAGTTCTAGCGCTGGGTCTCTCAGACCCTGCAAAGAAGTTTTTCCTGTATGCTCATGAGAGAAAGGGGGTAGCTCTGGGGTGCTGGTCCTGAAGCTAGGAACTCAGCCTCAGCCAGTGGCCTACCTATCAAAGAGGTTAGATCCTACCTCAGCAGGCTGGCCACCTTGTCTGTGAGCAATTGCTGCTGTGGCCCTCTTGGTCCAAAATGCAGTAAAGATCACCATGGGAGGAACTTTAGAGGTCCTAACTAATCATAGGATCTCCGAGGTGCTACAAGCTAAAGGTTATAACTGGCTTTCTGATAGCCGCCCACTGAAGTACCAGGTTCTTCTCATAGAAAACCCTGATGTCACTATCCAGACTTGTAGCACACTCAATCCAGCCACAATGCTCCCTGATCCAGGGGAAGACACTATACCCCTTCATTCCTGCTTTGAGCTGTTGTCTCCTAATAACCTGCCACGACCAGACCTCAAAAACCAACCGCTGGCAGTTGCAGACTGTGTGTGGTTCTTGGATGGAAGCAGCTTTGTGATTGAGGGGGTGCGCAAGGCAGGCTATGCCATTGTCTCCCTCCACCAAGTCATTGAAGCCAGTCCCCTGCCCCCGGGAACTTCAGCCCAGCTGGTTGAACTCATAGCTTTGACCCGGGGCCTTGAACTAGCAGAGGGGAAGAAACTAACGTTATTTACTGACTCCAAATATGGGTTTCTGGTTCTTCACGCCCA